TGCAGAGCCCACCATAGAGGGTCTATGGTGGGCTCTGCAGGGTCACCCTCAGGTGGGATCTCGAGTGGGCTCTGCAAGGGGTATAACTAGAAATCACGGGGCTCCATACAAAATTTTGCTATGGGGCCCTGTGATTTCTTGATACGCCCCTGCATGCCCTCTGTACATATAAGGGAGGCTTGTAGTATTCTGCTGAAATCCCAGTAAACATTGCCCAAGCCGTGCAGAGTATTTTTAGAATTCTAGTTTGCCGTCTGCAGAACAACCACAAGCTATTGTGTACTTCTCTTTAATCCCTCCAGGTTACGTTGCATGCAAATGTTACAGAGTGGAAGCAAAAAAAGATAGACTGATTAGTAATCACATTAGTGTTGGGTAAAGGCATCGAGCATTAAACTGCTGACTACTGCTTACGTAGCGCGCCCCCTTCCCCCAGTCAGCGCTATCCCAATGTAGGATAACCCTACCGGTGGCTCTGAAGGGGATGATCTACAGTAAGCTGAACTAACGGATCTCCCCGTCTTTCCTCTATAAGAAACCTCTACTATGGATCCACAGCACACCTCGAGTTACTAGGGTCGGTAGCTATGGGTTACGACAGCTCCCATTCTTGTTGCCTAGGGGTATCGTCGCTTGTTTTGCCCATCGGCACTTATGCTGAACGATAGAAGTGAAGTCCGGACTGTGGTTATGATGATTGGAACATTTATTGAGGAACTTCAGGGAGAGAGGTAGAGGCGGGTGAGGATCATCCAGGGAGATAAAGACTCCACGGCTTCTCAGGGAGTGTGGTTACAGCTTCCATGCACCGCATGCCAAGCACCTGACACGGCATCACTCGAGGTAAGAGGTACTGATACTTGTCTTTTAGCAGCAGCAACCACTGGACCTGCTGCCACCAGGCTCCAGGATGATTCCAAGGCTAGTCCTCAGGCTTTTAGGGCCTAACCAGCTTAGGCAGTCCGGCGCAGCCTCCCCGCAGGCAGGGCCTGGGGGAGGAAGAGAGAGCCCACATGGCCCACCCCGAGTATTTATCTCCTCTCCCCGCATGCTCCACTGGCTCATTTCACAGTGATTGGCTGGGAAGGGATACTTACTCCTAGCAATCCCATTGGCTGCTCTGTTCTATCACCAGGGCACACCCTGCAGTACCTCTGGCAGCAGACAGATGGGAAGCAATGAGAGATTGTTTAGGGGGAGAACCACATGAACCAAGACTACAAATCAGACCACATACAATCTGATAAACACTAGATTTAATAGCACCCTTTCCACCAGGGCGCTACACTTACAATTATACCAGCCGGACAGCGGCCATCTTACTCTTTTCATAGATCTGTTTTAGACTTCAAGG